CTACCCCGAGGGGCAGAGAGACTGTTTCCAGGAGACCCTCGGCTCAAAGAGGCAACAAGAGACACTATATTAGTACTATCAATAGACTCATAATAAAACAACATAAAATACCATAAAATCCATAACATAACATAAATACCATAAAATAACAAAATAACAGCAATATAAGAGATATAGGAAATACGAGAAAGATGTAAGGTATTAATACACAACAAATAAAGCCCATCATCAATAGTTGATAGTTAATAACTAATATTGCATGAGAAAATGTTTTTACATTATTAGCTACTAGAGAAGTTTAAATGTGTTTTTCATACACTATATATAAATAATCATGATATTTTCTCTAACCCTTCGTGGCTTAGAAAACTTTATGTTGGAAGAAATAAAAACAAAGATAGAAACATACGGGTTTATATTATAAAAATTACTTTGTGGATACTTTAATTGTTCAAAAATTAATGTAGTCCATAAGTGAGTGCCTAATAATAAGTGTGACATATAATTTTTGGATAGTGCTTGTTATGTATTTGATTAGGTCTGGGAAGACACCAACAAGGTTGTGGTGGAGTAGTAAATACTCTTTCATCCTTAACTAGAGGTTTCAGGTTTAAGTCCCTAGGTATGGAGTCGCCTTTGTTAGGGAGCGCTTTACCCCCAATGTGAGACTTTCCGGCACGAATCCGAATTTAGTCGGGCCCCAATATGAAACCGAACACCGGGTGGAAAACAAAAAAAAAGTCTAGGAAGACGGTGAATGTAAGCTAAACTTAGTAAAACCCGTAATGGGTCCATTAGGTCTCCCTTTAATCTTTTCATAAAACACACCCTTGTCTTCTTTTTCATAGAGTTGTTTTGAGAATAACAAATATTGTATAATAATTGTTTCATCAACACTACCATCTTGATTAAAGGATATATATAGAGAGAAGAATCTAATTGTACGTCAATCGCACATTGACTCAAACATATATGCCATTTTTCTAATCTAACAATTTATTGTGTAAATTGATACCATCGTCATATTTATGTCATATTAGCCTAAAGAAAAAAAAAAATTGAACAAAACTAAGTGATCTGTCACATCCCACAAAAGAAATAGAAAAAGAAAAGGAAAAAAGAGGAGTGCTAAAAGCTTCTCCGTCCACTTGAAAATGGTTAAAGTGCTTATATATTTCTTTTAGTGTAAACCAATTTGCTGCAAAAAAATATACAGACACGTCAAAAGAGGTAATATAAATGTTACCCCTATTTAATACTATACAAATTGACCGGCAAAATGCAGACACGTGCAGGTGCACCTCCCCTAGTTTCTTTTTATTATGATATATATATGTAAGCCATCAGTATAAAAGAGAAAGAAGAAAATAGAAAAAGAACAACAATAATGTGGAAACCTCAGTAATATTGTCTACTCTCAAATGGAAGTATTTTACTATGCAGCGTAGTAAAAAATCTAAAAGGAGAAAGTGAAAATGGGAAAAAATGAATTTAAGTAAATTTTTTGGTGGTATATTTCCTAAAAAAATAAAGAGGTAGCTGGGCTTTCACGTGGGCTGGGGTCCATTGGATTTGGCTCCACATGCAAGTTGCACTAGTGGGCTTTGTCCATTTTCGGCTATCTTTAACTTTGACTAATTTCCTTTTCTTGGCCTAATGCCCTAATCAAGTAAGAATGAGAGACATTTAAGATAGTATAAACATGGTAAACATATTCCTCCCTTTTTCTCATCCAACCACCATGCTTTTCTTTGTTTCTTCTTTACTATCCATTTATTTAATTGGATTATTAGTTTCTGCTTGAATAAAATTTTAGAAATTGCAATGTTGTCTTTGTTATTTTCATCGACAGAATACCATTAGCCGAAAAGTTATATTGCATATAAAAAATATATACGGAATATATATGTCAAAAATAATTTTTGTACATATATATTAAATCTTGAACGCCCGCCATTAGCTACGTTGGACATGTACTTGTAGTAAGAGAAAGCAAACAATACAAGTCAACTGAAGAAACCTTGAAAAATTAAATCAACTTGTTAGAGCAGAAGGATTTTGCAAGATACTTAACTTCTTTCGATACTCCAAGCATTTTTCTGTGTAGTATAAAGCAAAATGCATTGAATTGGACTTATACATATCTTAAAGATTTGAACGTATTCAGATATGATTATCAGAAATCAGAATCTTATCTCCTTGTCTATACGATGTTGGAAATGAGTGGAATACAGTGGGTGGGTG